ATGAGGACTTCAGGAGTGTTTGCTCTGCTGAGTATTTCAAAGAAAATAATCCTCAAAATACAAGAAAATTCAAACCCAAAATAATGAAAAAAACAACCCCAAACTCAGTTCCTCCCTCTCTCCCTCCATCCCTCCTTCCTCCCTCCTTCCTCCCTCTCACCCTCCCTCTCTCTCACCCTCCCACACTCAGGATATAAGGAAGCCTTGGAGACAAAATTTAGCACCACTCACACTGGTATGGAACACACATTTCCCTACAGTATTTTGTCTCCACTGTCTGGAGGTGCAACACTAGGTAACACTTCTTCATTTTGCTGTCCCCTTTGCAGAAAGGGCCTTTGTAAAGTGCCCACAGAACTTCAGCTGTAGCACAATGACTGGATACTTTGGGAAAAGTGTCAGAAACTAAAGGACAAAAGGTGTACAGCAGCTGGACACTGATTAAAAAAAAAAAAAAAGATAAATTAATACTCTTTCCAAGTTCATCTTGAGATAGAGTATCAGGTTTCCAGAAGAAGTAGTTCTATTATTAGACCTAACAAGGTAAGAAACATCACAATACAAGGAAGAATACACAAAAATGCCTTTTCTTCATATTTTGTGGAGAGTCACTCATTTTACCACATGAGATGCCCAGCCTTCACCTCTAAACATATTAAGTATTTTCAGTACTACAGTACATTAATCAGACATCAGAGTCCATGAGCATACTTAACTGGGCAAGATAACCAAGAAAGACCAGAACAAATGCTGGATTTCTTTTCCCATCTAAGTCGAGGTAAAACTGCAGGTAAAACTGCTGTCAAGTGGCCATTTTGAGAAACCACCAAAAAACTTGCTGGATATTTTGTCCATTTCCACATGCTGCAGATCTTCATTGTGACACCAAATGCAAACATAGTGCTCAAAGCCAGGTTCTTGTCCACCTCTGACTGATTAAGGCTCACAGTCCTGCTCTCCTAACTTGATGCATGTTAGAAGATAAAAACACATCCTCTTAATCAGATCACCAAATTTTAAAATAGCTTTTGATCGCATTGTTTTAGTAAAGGTAGTTGTGATGATTGCATACAGAGTACAGGAAAAGCCTGTCTTTAACAGACTGCAGCCAATGTAATTTACCAGAAATTATCTTGGCCCAGGATAAGTTTTAAAGGCCACTTTAAATTATAGTAAGATATTTATTGCCAGGAACACTGCTGTCTTTGATACAAATTTCTCCAAAACAATTGACACATAGTGGTTGGTCCAGAGGTTAGAGTCTGCAAATGCTAACTGTTCTTTAAAGTGGCAATTGGGTGTTACCTATCTCTCAAAAGTAAGGAATACATGGATAAAACAGTAGTAAATTTGGCTGTGCAACATACACATACTCATGAGAATACTCTGGTCATACTATAATAATGAAAGATAGTCAGTAGCATAAAACCTTTGAATATCTCCTAGCATTCTAATATATTATAAACTGAGAAACTAAATGAAATACATGCCAGTGTATGCATGTTTATTTTGTCACAATACAATAACTTGCAAAACATTACATAATATTTGTAACTAGAATTATGTGCTCCACATGGTGGAACACAGGAGTTCTTTAGACTCAGCCTATACCTGGTCCCATTAGCCTTCAGCCAGATTGTTCCTGAACAATCTTTGTTGAACATGCAATGCAGAAAATAGACCAGGAAAGCACATAAGAGAGGGATTTATGCAAAACAATTACGTGTCCTTCAGTACTTTTGTCTCTGAATGAGAACTGTATTATTTTTACTCAGCTAAAATGCCACAGGTATGCTGTAGATCAGAAGGAAGACATTGATCTTATTTTTTCACAGGCAGTTCAGATATATATGATTATTGTCCTAAAGCAATGAAGAAAGCCAGTAAATTTATCTAGGCTTTGCCTCTGGTTTGATTTCCTCAAGATGAAGTGGGGTATTATTACTGGTGCAGTTACCTCTGCATTGTCTCCTATTATACTGGATAGAGGCTGAATTTGTTTATTCTGTTCTTATTTTGAACATATAGGAAAGTATCCCTGCTGTATTCCTTATTTGAAAGAGACTGTGAAACAGAATTTATTCCTCAATGAAGCAAAAAAGAAAAAAAAAAGGCCTTAACTTCATATATGCTAATCAAGGTCTAGTCTAATCATACAGACTGGTACTAGAGGAATCTTCTTGATCTTTAGAATTTACTTTGACCATGAATAACACAATACTGGCTTTTTTTTCATGACCACTCCTTCCAGGACATTATGCACTGGACCCAGGAAGTTTTTATACTCAACAGTGCTCATTTAACTGCATTGAGGCTGACACTGTATCTCTCTGAATCTCTGTATCAGGGCCTTCATTTCGATGACAGTAGACTGAGAAAAGGTTAAAAAAAAAAACCCAACAGAAAAACAGGCAAATATTTCTTCCAGAAATGTTCTGAAAGCCACACCAACTCGTCCCTTAAAACTTGGGTAAATATTATGCCTTTTTACTGGATTTGCATGACACTTGATACTAATGATTTTGTACGTGCTTTTTTTGTCCTCCACCGTCAGTAATTGCACATTGACCTGACATGCAAAAGACATGCATTGCAAAATACATGGTCTTGAAAGGTATTTTTATGGCATGAAAACCACAGTTTTAGTGCCTTTTCCTCATTGGTTGTGATTTTCTGTCAGCAGTTGGGAGAGTGCTTCAGTGGCTGCATGCTGGGACTTGGCTGGGGCAACTAAGTAAGTTCTGACCTCTTGGAAAGTTGTAAGGGCTGCTGACAACGGAAGACGAGATAGAATTAAGTGAGGGAAGACCTTACATCTCCTGCTGTCCTTGCTGAAGTAGGGGTTTCTCACAGTCCCCTTTAATCAGAATTGCAAAGTACCTGTTGAAGGTACTTCATAGATATTTTTCTCCAGCTCCTTAGCTTTGCAGTCCTCAAGAAAGGACTCTTTGAAGAAGTACAGGATAGCTGTGACAATTAATTACTTCACAGAGGACTACACAGACTATCACATATGCTCAGAGACTATCACATATGCTCAGAGACTTACTTATGAATGATCCTAACTTAATCAGTATAGGTTTTCAAATATGCTTCTGCATTGTGTTCCCAATTAAGAGAAAGAAAAATGCTACATAATGACAGCATACAGGGTCTCATTAGCTTGTTGTGCCTGGAAAATTAATAAATTAAACTATCTAGAATAGATTGGAAGCTGCTACTATCCTGAAGACAAATAAAAACAATTTTGAAATAAAATTACAGGTTTTGTGCTATTAGGCTGACCCTGCAGGACAATACATTACTTTGGTGGCTTTCCATGCCTCTTGACTTTCCGTGTGCTCAGTATGTAGAGGATATCTCTTTGATTAGGACCTCCATTCCCAAGGAAGAACAAAGGACTTCACTTGCAATATATAATATGCATTGCATATTTTTGCTTTTATGTGGTTCAATGCAATATATAATATGCATTGCATATTTTTGCTTTTATATGGTTTTGCCCATTTCAGAAAACCCTGGGGGTGTTGGAAGACCACTCATAGCACCTGCCATGCTTTGTCAAATGCTGATGACCACTATCAAAGATTTCATTTTCTGAATATTAAGATAAAAGTGTCTCCAACCAAATAATCTCTAGATAGCTTCAGGAAATAGCACCAGGAATCACATGAAAGAACACAGATGCTGAAGAACTACTTCCTATGTTGGTTTAAAGGTCATAAATTCTCATTATTGTACAATAAATGAAACAGTAATCTCTATGGGATAACATACTAACTTGTTCTTCCACTAAAAGTGGATTTACAGCAGTAATCTAAATTATTTCAGCAGCATTGGTCTAGATATTGCTACCAGAGCAAAGACTGGATATAGAGTATGTAGGAGAGGGCCTTTTGAAAGGGCTTTTTTAAAAGCCTTTCACAAAAATCAAGCTGAATTGCAGCTCCATATTCACTACTGTGTTACCAGACAAACTAAAGACACAGCTCCATGACAGTGTGAAGGTATTTGCCTTGTGTTTAGGTATTTGGCAAGTGTGTTAGAATGAAAAAAATTAATGGGAAAGAGAAGGGAGCATCTAATCACTCTAAGTGACCTTTGGATGATAGATAAAGTTGGGGGGAAAGATACAAGCAAACAAAAACACAGTGGAGCACAATGGGCTAAACTTATCCCAAGTATAACTCTTGCCAGCTGGCCAGTATCTGGTTGTCAAAATATGTTTAATGGGGAAAGAACGAAAGAAACAAATGAAGTATAAAATCTGTTCTAGAACATAGTACATTGGCTCTGTTTGGTTAAATCAGTATGCCTTCTATAATGCCATTCTTTGAGATCAATTACTCATTATTGCACTGCCAGTATCAAGCTATGATCCTTGCCTTTTTTCTGACCCCTTTCATCACCCTTCTTTTTCCCCCACAGTGTTCTATAAATAGCCAATGTGCTATTTTCTTGTGATCACTCTAAACAGGGGTTTTAGGCCTTTTTTTACCTATATCACCATGGAAACAAGATCTGTGTATACATCTATGATTAGTCTTTCTCTAGAGTAAAAGCCTTCATTATCTATGCAAGCTTAAAGCTAATTATTCTGCATAAGAGATATGGGTGTCTTATTCCTACCTAGTACTTCAGAAATTCATTTCATGTAGTTGCACATAACAAGCTGTAAAGAAGGTTTTATGAAGCCAATAATGCAGATATAATACTTGAGGAATTCCTTTTGGATTGGATATATTTATTTTTCCAAACATTTTGTTTGAGAGAAAACGAGATTGCTATCTGCTGTTTCCTTATTTTTTTGCAGGAAAGCAAAGGGTTGTTGACTTCCTCTCCCCTCCCTTCCTTCCTTCTTTCTGAAGGTACTGTACTCATCTGAAAAAAAAAAAAGAGAACGAAATGATTGTTCCTGTTCTCCTTCTTAAGTCATTTGAAACATTGTCACTGCTAGTTTTCTAAGTTTACTGCAATCTCTGCATGGGGAGGGGTGGGTAGGGAGACAGCGGGAGAGAGAGACAGATATTACAAACATCAGAGCAGGTAGTGTTTAGGGCAAGACTCCATCCACCTTCAACAACTGGTAAGTTAAGTAAAATGCTTTTATGGTTAACTCTTTAAAAGTTTTATATATATATATATATATATATATCTGTGTTAGTATTAAGAAAAGGCGTTAATTAGATACACATTTAACTGATAAAATAATAATAACCATATGCATTAATAAGTAGTCTATTTACGCTAGAGATACCTATAGTATGGTTTTTAGATACTGGTGCTATTAACATATGGTTTAGTCTATGCAGATAGGAAAGTATTTTCCAAAGAGGCTGATAATATTCAAAATATAATCTGTGGATTTTGCGTATAAGTCCTGCTGCGAGAATCTTGTTGCAGGCTTCACTAACTTTATCCCAACAGTTTCAGCAAGATTCACTTGGGGCCGTTGCTAAAATATAGAGAGGAGCTGTGTCATATGGGGATCAATGTATTTCATTTATCATCTGCCCGTACTGAAGTCTGCTCCAACACACCAACCTGTGCTATACTGAGAGAAGAATTACTGGGGCTGTTTTTGCTCCCTTCAAACTGCATTGTGTTTAGGACTACACATGTTTATCTCTACTCATCTGTGTATATGATCAGTCTAGGAACAATGACATTTCGGAGGTGGTAAGATGGTTCCTGGATCTCACTTGGAAAAAAACAAAACAAAAGTTCATGTTGTGCAGTACATAACAGCACTGAGGCTGAACACCAACATCAGTAATAGGATGGACTCAATTGTATATCTGTTTGCAACTTTTTAGACATCAATTATGTTTTTCATATTGATCATAAATGTATCAGAATCATTAGAATTTCCATGTGAAATGAGTGACTGAATGCAAGAGTATGTTTCAAATAGTGTGTGAGAAAAATCCCCCCCTGAACACTTTCATATAAGCAGAAAGCAGAGGTGGGACAAGAAATAGGAGAGGTGTCCATTTCTTTGCAAAAGGACAATTTGCTCATCTTATGATTGTTTCTTCAAGCTGCTGCTCTCTGAAGTGCAGGGTCCTCTGAAGTGCAGAATGCCCAGAGCCCAGACAGGGAGGCTACAAACAGTGGGCAGATATTGCAGAGGGCTGTCAGGCAGCTCCAGCTGCCCTGATCCAAATTCTGCTCCTGCCAGGGTACCTGGGCTGCGCTTCCACCCTGGGACAGCCTCCTGCTCCCAGCCCTCCCTGAAAAAACTAGTGGAAAGGACTTTCTGCCTCCCTCTATTTGGCATCCTTCTCCAGGTTTTTCCATAAGGAGGAATGATCTACCAGAAATTCAGCCCAGTTTCTGGGTAAGTTGTAGATTTCTTTCGCTTTGGGAGCAGCCAAAGGGGGCTTTGCCAAAGGATATGGAAATAACTTCTTTCTTGAACTCCTTAGCTTAATGCTGCCACTCAGACTAGTTAGGTACGAGTTAATTGTTTATTTGGTTATACTTAAGTCACAAAAAATTTGTTATCTGCTAATAACAAATGTGTGCCAGGTCTTGACATGAAAACCATCTGCCACATCTTCCCCTTGAGATATCTGGGTTTATTTTTATGTGAATATATACTGATTCAAATTAAAGGCATGATTTGGTCAGCTATTTTGACATGTCAAACACCTGGAATTCCAGTTTTTACATCAAGTGAGGAGTCTTCCAAACACATACAGAAAATTACATAAGCTCTGTGTTTGTGGCAGTATTTTGTTCAAACTGCAGGGTATTAGTCCAGATTGCAATCACTTTTAAATTTTTGTTCTGGTTGGTTCAAAAGTTAATTTTGCCATGTAAGTAAAAGTAAGCTGCAGTCTTTAGGTCCAGGTTTTATTGCTAAAGATGATAAACATTTGTGTTTTCTTGATTTAGATCATATATACAATAAATCCTTTCTCTGAGACATCATCTGAAATAAATAAGTATGAACAAATTTGTTCAAATCATAGTAGGTGAACAAAAGGAGTACCTACTGTTTTAAAACCCAGTCCCAAATAATAAGCACAGAGAAACCTTTTTAAAAGGAATGCTTAGTAATTTGACAGTAAAAAACATACTTGAACTTTGAATTTCATTCTTATATTTTACCTATTAGGTTTATTTTCCTTTTAAAAATACATTTTTGCAATCCTTTGGAGTTTATTTATTTTCACGTTGTATGATTTATTGCCAGAACCTCTGTCACATGATTTAGTACAACTGTCTAATATCTTTCCTAAGGTGTCAGAAAGGTGATTTTTTGGCTGACATGTTATTCCTACATCACTGAGATATGTACAGCAGAGAAAGGTAGAGTCTGAGTCTGTATTGGGTACAGATTTGCTACTAGTTTATGGCACAAATTAAATATTTGTGTAATGAATTTTCAGTTATTCACCCCAATGTTTGTAAGAGACGGGACTGTTAATGGTTAATAAATCAACTCTTAAAATTATAAGCCAATAATAAAAAGAGGCAATTTGTGTTTATTTTGCTTAAAAGTCTTACTGCTTCTACTCGTAATAGCCATATTTATGTATGTAACATAAGTAAATGATAAGTCAGTGTATGTATATTTCCTCAGAGAATTATTTCAAACTATTATTTCCATTTGATGTGTTCTCAATTATAATGAAATAAAATTCAGAAGATTATTGCTTTTGTTTGGAAATAGAAAAATAAACCTATACCAGTAATGGCCGAGAGGCTACAGAAACAATTTGTAGCCTGTGGAAATCCCAAGTTAACAGATCAGGTTCAAAAAGCATAGAACCTAAGAGATGTCTTTCTGTAAATATCATTGCCTTTTTATATTTAATACCAGCTTCTTTAATGGTGTAAACTATTGAGACTTTTTGGATGCAGAATAGTAGCACTGAGTTACATTCCTAGTAAATTTTGACATGTCTAATGTACATTTTTGGCCAGGAGATAATTTGAAGCTTTGAATCTCAAGGAGGTTTTCTGTCTGTTTGTTTGTTTGTTTTTGGGGTTTTTTTGGTTGTTTTGTTTTGTTTTTTAAATTGTTTTTCATTCTTAGAAAAAAGCACACCAACAAGAGCCTTGTTTTAGGACTATCTGGGTGCCAAGCAGAAAGTGATGGTTTGAAAGACACGATGTGCATCTCACAGAGAAACGTAGTGTCATATCTTTAAGGTGCTGTTCCTAGTAGTGCCAGAGAGATACACAGGATTTAGAACATGATAAGCATGAGGCGATGAATCGTGGAAGCAACCCAATTCAAGCCCCATACACTGAGACAGAAGAGTATGGATTTCAGACAGAATTTATATTGTTTTCAATCTTTGAAATGGCAAAGACTCAGTGGTGCAGAAGAGTTTCTGAGTGGACTGCTCCACTCTTCTGGACATGTTAGCAGAATCTCGTCATAAGAAACAAAAGCAGTAAAGGCTGCATAACGTAATGGGGATTTTCTGTGGCTGTGCTGAAAGGACACAAATCAATGGTGTGTAAGGCAACATCTTTTATTAGCTGATAAGAAATGATCCATGGTTTTTGAGCACCAATGCCTGTTCTTTGGTACCAATGATCCAATCAAACAGCTCCTCAAACAGACCTTGTAAGTGCTGTGAGACTGCTACAGATTGTTGTCAAGTTATTAATTTGCTTGATGGATTAATTTTATAACCCAGCAAATTTTAAAAAATAAACCACCTATTAAAACAAAATAGATACTTTCTTCTTATGACCAGTAATTTTCCACGATCTAGCTTATGATCTCAGAAGATCACTAAAAAGAAAGGAATGTCATCTTGGAGAAGAAAGAATTATAGAGACACAAATAATGCAAGCTTTTGAAAAGAAAGAAACAAATCCGGGGAAAAAAAAGAGATGGGCTTATTTTTGCTGAAAATTTGCTATTCTGAAATTGAGACTGCAGCTTTCCATTGCTGTAAAAATGCAGTGGCATTTTATAAATGACATTCAGATTTTTATCCAGTGAAGAGGCCTAAGTTACTCCTCAGCAATTATTTAAAACATGCATAGAGTTGCATGCTGGGTGTGTATTTTTTGTTTGTATCTACCTGACAGGGATTGATCCTTCTTGCTTGACTTCTAAAAGACTAATGATCCAGTGAAAAATATTACTTAATGTTTGGTTTAGATCCTTCCAAGTGTCAAAACACTTTTGCTTATTTCTGTAAAACTTTTTATACTTATTACTGTGCTCTTGATAAGTGAAGCACAGTATTTTCTTTCTCAACCAACAATTCTTAATGCACTGTAAAAACTGTAATGTCACTGGTAGTAATTAAGCTAAGTAATCATGTAGTAAAAGAAAATATTTTTGTGCTCTGGAGGTTATGAGAAGAAATTATGTGAATAATTGGTTTTTTTTTTTCTTTTTACTTTCATTTCTAATTTCCTGCTTTTGATGTTAGAAAAAACCTGTTATTAATTATTTAAATGTTGGATGAAAATACCACCCTCTTTTTAATTTCTCTTCCCTCTTCTACCATGAAAGCTAAAACCCTAACAGATTTTCCTTCTACTTTGTGGATATGCAGTAATTAATTTGATTAATTTGAAAGGAAAAGTCTTGAGTAAGAAGTGTATTTCCCAAAAACCTATTTTTCCCTTGTCAATTTTCAAAAAAGTAAACCTGGAAACACCCAGCTTTCATCTGCATACCATTAGAACCACCAGAATTCAGAGATCACTGAAAAATACAGAGTTGATGATTGGTTTAATTACTAAAAGTGACAGGTTAAAATGAGTCTCCTACACTGATAACATCACATTTTGCTGAAATAGGTAAAACTGATTTAAAATTGAAAGCAAGGCTGTGAGAAGGAGCACACATTTTTAGCTGTTCTTTTTGGATGATGCTGTAGTAGAAGCAATGTTAATGCACAGCAAGACCCACACAGTCCTCTGTCTGCAGGCCTGATGAAGAACAGACATCACCTAATTTCCCTGCATGGAAGAATCTTGGTCTTTCCACAACAGAGGACCAGATGTGGTGATTCTGGGAGAGAACCATGTGGCTTTGCCCCTTCCTGTTCTGACACCAGCCCTTCTGATAAGGCACAAGTGTATTGGCTGGGAAAGACAAGA